TGATTTAGTCTGTCTTGTATCTCTGTCATGTTCTCAACAAACAACTCCTGACACACAATTCAGATTAGGACAAAAAGCTATCTTCATTTACTTAGTTCATTTGTCTTGTCGATAAATTAGATAATCTAGTTTGCCATAATATTTCTGATTTCTCTATTACCTTTACGATGGAAAGGTTGTTTTCACCGACACTTCTTTGAATGTTTTAGCTTTCCCAACTTAAATTCTTGCTATTTATGCCTGTGAAGCTGTTTTAATAAGGGAAAGGACAAATCAAACTTCCTACCTGAGGTATCTTATTTTACCTATCATATGTTGGCTACTACATGCAGTCTATGAAACCTAAGCGGAATTCATTGAGGGTAATTGGTAAACTGGAACTTATGAGTAGCATTTTGAATCACCTGTTTTAGTCTCATTGACCGATTGCAGCTGTATTTCTCTACCTAAGGACGACATTCAGTCCCGTCGATCGAGAGATTTTATGGCAGTGTTCCTCAGTGAAAGGGGTGCTGGATAAGTGCATTACTCCTTTGAAGGCTTTGTACTTGAAAACCGGTGGGCATATTCTAGCTTGTGGTGAGTTATCACGTGAATTGTATACGTTGAATGGTGTCCATCAAGAATGTCCATTACTTCCATTCTTACTGAATTTAATCACAGAGGTACTTATGGAGGCCATCTTCTCGTCATCTGAATTTACAACGATTGATCTTATCACAGGACGATTCATGGTGCATCTAAAGTACAAAGATGATATATCCCTATCACATGACAATCCTTATGTGACACAGAGTCTTCCAGACACCTTGACTCACAACTTGAAAATGTTTGGGATGGGTCTCTCATCACCTAAATGCAGAATGTTACTCCAGGACGGATAATTCAGTGCTGCCTTGTCTAAAAATAGGGAGTGAAGAGGTTGAGCGTGTTGATCACTTCACTTACTTTGGAAAGGAGATCACTGATAGTGAGTTGCTGCCCAACGGAATTTCCACACGGGTACAAAAGGCTACCTTAGCTCTCGACAACTTACCACTTTTGGCACCACAGTGATATCCACTTGTCTATTGAGGGTTGAGTGTATTGTGCTGCAGTTCGCTCTGTTCTGCTATATGGCTGTCAGCTGTGGTTTATAAAATTAGAGGACATGGGGAAGTTTCAGGTGTTCGGACACCATTGCTTTCCTAGCTTACGGTATGTGTCGTGGAGCCATCACACTGGTAATACAGAAATCAGGCATAGAGTTTTGACAAAAGAGGAAAGTCACTAAATATTATTGTGAAACCTAATCAGGTGAGGTGGTTGGGGTATGTGTTACGCATGCGTTGTTGCAAAACCTTAACTGAAGTGGGTTAAAGCTGGAAAGAGGTCAGACGCAACCAGACTAAAACATAACATCAGTGTGTGAAATCTTTGACTGTTGGTTTCAGCTGTAAAAGGGAATGTACACTCCCCATCTGGGGTCTATATGGAGACAGAAACCAGTTATTGAGAACCTTAGATGAAATGCCTTGGAATCGATGTCCAAACATTCTTCTCGTCTTCATCGTCAAAGTGAATTCGGTATTGTTTCATTCCACCTTCCTCTTTTCTTACAACTTTCTACCACTTTCTACCCATTTGACCATTTTAGTCCAGTAGCATCTACACCTTTAATCTAATAAATAATTGTCTTAGGTTTCACTAGGTACCACTAAGCTAGTCACTCTATAACTGAGATATTTTATCAAACAATCTTCTCATCTTTTCTGTCGTATTTTTGAATAATATTCTTTGATAATTCTGCAATCAGATTATTCCATGGAATGCAGTCAAGATTGTTTAACTAAGTCATGAGGAAAATCTTTCAAGTTATCCACTGTTTTGTACTGATTTCAGCTTATTGACCTAAACTGAGGTTATTCAGTTTAACAATATACTGTTGAGTTGTATTTGTTATAAGTGAGAATAGAGTGTTATTTGACTAACATGCATTGACTTGGTAACAGAAACTGATCACATGTACGCACTGAATGAACCTTTTTTTAGAAGTGTAACGAATAACCTTTGGTTTCAGCTTGGTACTCCTCATGAACTGACATCAGCTGGAGAAACATTTAGTACTTGAGAACAATGTACAGCTATTTCGGCAGTGTGCACCCGTGACCGTGATAGGGATCGAACCTAAGACTTTCAGATCCCGCGTCCAGCATGTTACCATTGAGCCACTGGGAAGGAATCCGACTGTCCACATTTTGTGTCTTCTGTCAATTCTAAATGTAGCGCAAACACTAGATTTCAACTAAGTGGCCAAATGGCAATGCTCTGGCTACGAGTCCTAACGGCCATGGACTCAGTCCCTCATGGAGTCCAGTACTTTCAGTACTTTGAGGTTTCTAGCGGTTTTCCAATTAGCGTCAATCCCAGATGAAAATTACTTACAAATCAATAAATCCTAGGAAACCAATTTCTAATGTGATCATCTTTTGTCTTTTTTGACACCTTGGGTGATTATTGTTTCATTTTTGATATTTGAATTAATACTGGGTGGTAATTGAAGGTGAAATGAAGGTTTGGAACGCAACTGGATTCGAACCGGCGACTACTGGGTTTCCAGCCCGATACTCTGCCAACTGAACTACGAGGTCCAACTGATGACCAGATATTTATTTCACTTCAATTGCCATGAGTTTTACCCGACCGCCATGTGAATTCGTAACGCGTTACTACCACTTGGTCGCACACTGGCTGCCTAGTCAGGACTTCACATCCCAATCCAAATGTAACTGAATTACAGAGGTGATTGAAATACAATAAAAATCTGGCCAGCAATCGGATCTGGTAACTCAGTTAGTAAAGCACCGGGCCAGTAACTCGGTGGTCGCTGGTTCGAATCCGACCACGGTCCAAACTTTCACTCTAAACCATCATTCATTATCAGTATTAGTCTGCCAAATGACGGCTACCCGAGATAGTCAAAATGATACACGAATTTTCAGTCACCCTTGTATTAATGTGATTATTCAGCATAAAATATTCCTGTTGACATATGAACTTCTGTGTAGGTCTCTTGGTATTAAGGAATAGATAGTGGTTAGCAATGGAATTCAAAACATGCATTCCGTCCTTTTTGGGTCTCATTAGCTGGATATTTCTGCGTCTCTGTGTGACTTATATTGTTCCTATTGAAATTGGAACCCATCATCCACCACTTTTGTTCAAAAGTTTAAAAATATGACTAAATAACTCTAAATCAGATATAACTAACCCATTAAAGTATAAGAAGTTGAAATCTTTAGGTGTCTTGTTCCAACCTAATTCTTTTCATTCCGTTTCAATTCCATTCTGTGAACATTGTGCTGATTGTAAATGAATAACTATACGGATGATAAAAACTTCAGTGTTATGTCTGTTAATTAGATAAATAACTTGAAATAAGCGGCGATAGGGTTGTAGAAAGTAACGATGAATGAAAATATAGTCTTTCTGTCTGAAGGCCAGCTATGCTTCAAACATCATACCCACTAACTGAAAAGCCCCAAATCCACCCAAATTTATAGATGTCATCGGGCGCTCATAAGCACATCATCGAGATAGTATACTGTAGTTTTGATTATGGCAATTCATCGTATAACAGAGCATCTTATCAGTCATATCAACTACTCCTAGACTACCTCATCTCAAACTGGCTGTCACTTACAACACAGGCTTGATTACAACCAGAACTAAAAGAGTATGATAGTACTACCTATTCGAATGAGTCAGTGGATGCTTCAGGGTGTATGCCAACAAACTCCATGAAATTTACAGAAGATTAATCTGAAAAACAGACAGATGACTAAAGAGCTGGAGAAACTCAGCAAGGTCGATCTTGAGGAACCAATAAGCAGAAGAGCCTTTAAAATTGTTGCTGATTAGCATGTCAGTTGTTCAGATTTTTACCTAACCCTTAGTGGAATTAGTTCAAATTTCGTTTATCATTTCATTGTTAAAAATACCATGGTAACCATTAAGTGCATTCAACTGGTTGACGCGAATTTTCATCATGTTTGCAAGACCAGTGCCAAACAATATTGGAGTTGAACATATAAAGCTGTGGGACATGTTTTTGTGAATGCTTATGAGTCCATTTTTTCTGAATCAGGGAGTAGAAGGCTTATCAAATACTCTTCTCCAAAGTGTTAGCCAATCATTCACGTTATTATTAGCTTTTATAGATTCAGTTCAGTTAATCCAAACTACTTGACAAAACAGAAAGTTACCAGTAAATCACAAGACACCATTCAATTATCGATCCTTATTTCAGGTTCAGGGAACCCAAGAGAACCAGGAACATCCAACTGAGCTACAATTATTCTCCATTATTTCAAAAAATTGACATAATCTTTATAAAAGGCCCGAAATCCCTGTGACACCAGAGTTTCAAGTGAACGTATATAAACCAATGTGTAAATATCAAATTAGTTGAAGGAACACAAATTAATAGGAAGGCCTAGAACCAGCCAAGGCCATCGTAAATATATAAACCCTTGTATTTTGTGTATATATTTCACTTGACAATGCACCATTTGTTATGTTACCTCTTTTTCTATATACGAAAGTTCTGAACCATCAATAAAAGGGGAATCTGAAGGTTATTGTTCGAATGTTCGATCAAGGGTGAAATGGAAACCTGGGTTATGACATGATTCAAGCTAGCAACTCGCCGTTCATGTGCTCAGCGCTCTATTGACTAATCTACAAAACCTGATTACTGAAAAGTTTTCCAGTTTACTTTAGTTACCAGTGACGCGTAGACCTGTCGGTTCGAATCTTGTTGCTAACCAAGTTTTTATGCAATCTACAGTCATTATCAAATGTTAACGAAGTTGGTCTACTAAACTATGACTAGGTTTGAATAAATCTAGAATAAATCAATAGACTTTTAAGTTATTTAATATTTTAGACGAATTTTTATTATCTATTGCTCAAATTTACAATTTTTCACAATATTTTTTGTGTTCATCTACACTATATAGCTAAAGATTTGATAAAGAGTCTACTTCTTACAGAACCAGATCGTAGACCTACAATTAAAGAAGTAATGAATCATCATTGGGTTGCTCAGTATAATACTGTGCCTAACACACCACTTGGAACTAATATGTTCTTCACTACAAAAGCATGGGATCAGTTTCGGGTAGGTTTTATCATTAAAAAGTAACCTTAGAGCTTATTGAATACGTTTTATTACAAAAAATGTTTCTTCCGATACTGTTGAGATATTCCTTTCAAGTGATATGTTTTATATTGAAGTGACTAAAAGCAATCTACGTCAAATTATCATATCTATGTGACTTCAGTTGAACAAAATTGGTAAATGATGCCTATGTCTCAGCTACTCAGTAAAAAGGAATATGCTGACGATGAACAAAGTATAACTTTATACCACGACAGAACTCATAGATTTCCGCTTTTCTGTATGTTTCATTGATCTTATATTTGTAAACAACAAGATTGCTTAGATCTGTAGTCATTTCGAAAACCCCATTAAATTTTGAACTATTTATTACAATAATCAACGCAAAATTATGATCACATCATTTACATGAGGTGTATTTAAGCGATTAGACATTGCAATCTAACTGGCTTATGTAAAGTTCGGTTACAATAAAATCATAGAGGAGTGTCTACATCATGGCTGATAGTCTGTGGTATGCCTTTCTTAAGAACAAGAAAGTGATATCATCATTGAGTTCTAGTCGCTTAGTAAAATGAAATAAGTATGATAAACTGTCTTACTATACTTCCATTATAATCATTTTCATTATCTGTATCACCGAGGGAAACAGTATTATATAACAGTTGAAATTTCTAGCGGGATTTATTGCTTAGACTCATATCACATTAATCACACAACTTTGTGGTATAGCCTTAGTAGTTCTATGGTCTACCTTAGATAATTAAATATTTACCAACCAAAGTAGTTGTTCAAAAACGAGGTTGATTAGTTGTTATGGACAAATATTTTCAGGATAAAACTTATAAGGGTTACGAAAGAGTAGTCATACGGTACCAAATATCACTGATTTCAGTAGATATATTTATAAACACTTAAGAAAGCATTGCTCTAGGGACACTCAACCCTACTTTCACAAAATGGTGATGATATGTAGACGGCACATTTACAGCGCTGAAGTCATAACATATCAACAAATTTCTCACTTATATAAACCCTATAGTTGATGCGATCTTATTCATACAGGAAAAAGAAAGTGGTGAAAGTGAATTAACTAAGTAGAATTACAAAGTCAAACGAATGATACGAACCTAACGTGCAGTGAATCGACTCTAACTCAAATCACAATGTCAACCACTACAACAAGAAATACCAGTAACCCGCGAAGACGGGAAACGAAGACAGACAGTTAACAGAGAGCTTTTTACTGTCTCGACAACGGTCAATACAGTTGATAGCGATGCTGAATATATACATTGTTATAATTGTTTTTTTATATCATCCCGTCGTCGATTTAACCGAATTGATCGATCTCTATTGGCATATGGGATCCTGTGCCGATGCCTCGACAATACCTGTGGTTTTACGATAGCAATGATGGATAGTGGTTAGCAGTGGAGTCCAGAATGCGCATTTCGTTCTATTTGGGACTCGTCAGCTGGATGTACCTGCTTCCCAGTGAGTGATGTTGTTCCCACCGGGATTAGGACTCGGGAGTCATCGCTTCAAATACTAGAGCGTTATCCACTACACCACCAAGCCACGATAGCCAATTCTTGTGCGACAGATATAATTTTAGTATAATTTGACTCCCGAGTCCAAATTCCGATGGGAACAACATAAGTCATCGGGAAGCAGGTACATCTAGCTGACGAGTCCCGAACAGGACGAAATGCGCATCCTGGATTTCGCTGCTAGCCACTATCCATCATTACGAATGTATACATTCCCGAAAATCCAGATAAAAATAGTTAACAACCAATGAGAGTACAACCTTGAGAGTAGAGGGAAGAAAAATTACTAACAGTGTGAAAACATCAATGTAGGTTATTCTAAGGTCATGGGCAAAACAGCAAGCAAAGCTATACAAAATTAGTGGTGTATAGTATTTAGACACCAGCGTCTATCAAAACGTTTCAAGTTCTAGTCGAAATTTGAACTTCCTATCCGACAACAGTTAATTCAGGTCTGGTCAGATGCATAAGTAATAGGGCACGAATACCAAGGACTTGTTAGGCAGAAAATCTCTGACAATAAATGGAACATGCAAAAGGTGTCTTACTGCTCAACAATTACTCTCGTCAGTTTATGCAGAAGCTCATGAGGAGTAATTAGTAAAATACCGCGAATAATGCAACTACAGACACAAAAGGTGTTAGCCATGAAACCACAAGGAGGGATTCTTAAAAATCCTTAATTTTACCGCACAAAGAAAATACATCTAAAACTCTACATAGGATTCTAAATGAGACCATGTTATAATGGCGTTTAATTACTACAGCTTCACTGGGAAACAAATTTTGCTTATTACAGAGTTCCATCAAACCTATTTAACAGAACAATTTGTTGTACTAAATTCCATGCAATGACTGTAATATCAAATACATAGATTAAACTATTATTCCTCACCTTATTCTTATTGTGATCATATTTTTATTGGTTGAATGAATCAACTTAAACATAATCCTAGGTTGACTACTAGCTTCATTTTAAGACAGACCATGGAATGTAGAATGCAATTATATATTAGGGTGTATATGAAAGAAGTAAGCACAGTTTAATGTATACCTAATAGTTTTCTACGTGAAAATATACCTTATGCATCCATAATTTTGTTTTATGCTCAATCTCCATCCCTTTGCTGTCCCCTAGTTGAGGCCCATTATAGTTAGTGTGACCATATTAAATTGAACAGAGTTGTACAAACAAAATAGTTGAATTCCTAGACAGAATGATGAGTGTTACCCATGCCTAGTCGCCACCTACCACGTCATATTATGTTGGCTGAAATGGGTTCAGGCTGGATAAAGACTCTATATAGTCAGACTAAAACTTGTCATCACTGGCTGAAGCTCTTGACTTTTAGTTTGAGCCATGTAGGGAGATGCAGACTAACAACCGGCTGGCATCGATGTGACAATCAAAACCAGTAGCTGAAGACTCTAAGTGATATGACTCGCAATCAGTGTTATGGGAACAGATATCTCATCACTTTTTACTCATCTTAATCGATATACTGAATTCAGTGTCTTATCATTCTTCCTTCCTCTTTTTTACCACATTTTTCTTCTTTTAACCGACGTTTCTTTCTGTCTTCATCTTTCATCTGAATGCTTTGTTACTTGATGTACTGATATGAAGTGTGGGAACTTGAACATTCTTGCACTGATCCCTGCTCTTATATTGATATTGATGATATAAACATGACAACCAAGAAATATATAGTTGCGTAGTAGGTAATTTGTCTAGCTCACATGTTCCATCTCTTGACTACGAAACTGACCGACAATAGTTTCAGTCCACAACAATAGAATATTTTTACTACTAAATTTAGAGATGTGTATCTTGTTGATAAGCGTCTACAGTTAACAAGTCTCTGTGAGGATAAGCTTCTGGTTAATAGACTTCTACCATTCAGTGGTTGGGTCATCAAGGGAAAAAAGATTTTTGACTTTGTAATCATGGTAGCAATTTTTGTCACTACCTATAGAGGTTGAACAATTCGATCCAATAAAACAACGGAGAAATACAGGTATATCAATAAATAGTAATAACTACTACCCGTTTGTGCAAGAAGTGGTTTTTGTGCCTCCGTGGCATAGTGGATAACACCTTGGCGTTTGAAGCGATGGGTACAAGGTTTCAGTCTCAGTGGGAACAACATCACTTCGCACCGGTACGTCCAACTGACAAGTCCCATATAGGGCGAAACGCGCATCCTGGATTCCTCTGCTAGCCACAACCAACTGAATTACCATAATTAACATTCAGGCAATATCGAGGCATCCGCATAGAAGCCCATATGCCAATAGAGGTCGAACAATTTGTTCCAATAAAACAACGGAGAATTACATTTATATCAATAAGTACCAATACCTATTCATAGGTTTGATTTTGACGCTGAAATATTTTATCTCCCTCTGGAGTTGTAACTCAGTGGCTTAGGAAGTTGACTTCCAACTAACCGGTCACGGATTCGAACACTTGCCGAGGTTTGGATAGCCAAGTAGAGTATTATAAGCCCTCTCACAATAGGATTTCGATTTTTCTTTCGCATTTATTTCCCTCTTTATAAAATGGATGTAAAGAATATTTCTAACTCAGAAAAAACCTGGAACAGCTAGTCCTCTTTGTATATTTCGACAGGACAAAAAAAATGTAGTTTATCTGAAATGTGTGATGTATTAACACAATACATTTCGAATAATCCCATCAGCTTTGGTAAATTTATACTTGATAGTGAGGGATCCAGCCAGACCGACGATATGGCTATGGATAGCCCATTAGATCTCATGCTACCAGGTAGCAATATTCCCCACGCTGAGAATCTGGTTGATAGTTTGATTACAAAAGTTCCTATCTAGAAGAGATGCTACTTCGATTCTGAGTCCAGTGTGTGATACTCACAGTAGTATATTCCAGACATGTGAGGATTGAAATGATGACTTCAAGTTGGTATTCATCGTGGACTGACATTAGTTAGACAAAAACTGGAAACCTAGGAGCACTGGACAACGTTTTCGTCCCAGTATGGGACTCCTCAACGGTGCACACCCATGACTGCAATGGATCGAACCCAGGACCTTTAGGTTCAATGGCTAGCACGTTACCACTGAGTCAGTCAGTCGGAATCCAACGATCCGTATTGCCGACTTGTATCAGTTCACGACATAGCGTGACCATCACATAGTGTCATCGATGAGTATTTGTCCTCACATCCACCAGGTTTGCCTCACCTGTCACGACTTCTCATTGGAACTTCAGGAATCAGGAGTCCCCAAATTGAAATAATGGTTGCCTAACATTTTTAGAAGTTTACAAAACCCGCCAGCAAGATGAGCTAATGAAACGATCCATCTATAGGAAATCCACATGGACAGGACAGTACCTAAATAACCATAGTTTCTGTCCACTTCATTAAAAGTAAGTGTCTGTTCAACTGGATATGAAGACTATTTACAAAAGATACTCTAAAAGAGGATACCCAAAAGCTCATCAAAGTATTATGAGATAACAGTCATCCTCTAGAATTGATTAATCGGAATGGAAATGTCAAACAATGGAGATCAATTGTTCATTGAGTTCCGCTACCATATTTAAGTGATTTACAGAGTCTGACAGTGAAAAATAGACCTAAGACAGCCAACAGCAGAAAACACTATCTAGCAAAGGCCAACATCATAGAGGAAACGAAATGTACGTGCTCCTGTAAACCCACAAAGGATTAGAACAAAACAGTCATATCCAACTGTATTTATCAATCTACATGTACCTGCGAATAAGTAACAAGGAACTCTGGGAACGAACCAACCAAGTACCTATCACCCAACAAATATGAAGAAGAAAGTGGAGATGGATTGGATTAGACAAACACTGAGAAGGCCGACTGAGGACATCACGCTGCAGGCCAGACCCCCGAGTGGAATCCGAAGGGGAAATGATGAGTTGGGCATCTGAGCCGAGGGTGACATGGAGGAGATTATGTGAGAAAGAAATGAAAGCCTATGGGCAGTCGTAGAGCGAGATTCAAAAGACTGGAGAGAAGAGATTGGAGTGGAGACATGCTACTGAAGCCGTATGTTCCACTAGGAACCAAAGGGAAAAGTAATAATAATAATATGATCACACATGCATTATGAGAAACCGTATATATTTGAAAGTAAGGGCTACAAAGCCCATTTTTAATTCGATGCCGCAACAAATCAAATCAAGTGATCACATTGACCCAGGTAACAGATATCCAAGTTCGTTTATAGATTAACATATCATGGAAACAGGTAACAAGGTTGATTAGTATGCATTTAAGAAACCGATTAGGGACTTGAGTTGGTTGAAAATCTAGTTATCAGATTCTGTAGACCTGTTTTGCGTAGTTAATGACGATTTGTTGCTACATTAAACCCCCTTTGGTAACTCATTTTTGACACAAAGGAGATTAATATACAATCTTTCTTTTCCAATCTAAACTTATGTTTCAACCCTATATTATGTTGATTATCACCTTGTAAACTTGTTTATTTGTTGATGTATTGTGTTATAACAAGACACATTTCAGACAAACTGCAGCTTCTTATGGTTTTATGGAAGGGAAAAGCGTTGCTTTCTTTTAGTCTTCAATTCTCTCAATAATACAAAATTCTTTAAAAATTTTTTTATCGATGATCTATTGTCTATGTCAACTTTTTATGTACTAGGTAGTGTTTGAAGGTGAAATGATAATTTGGATTGTGGCCGGATTCGAACTAGCGACCTCCGGGTTTCCAGTCTGATGCTCTACCAACTGATGTACGAAGTTCCAATTCGGGCATCGGGTCGGAAATCCGATGGTTGCCAGTTCGGATCCGGATACTCGTTTGCCAAACTACCGCTACCTCAGATAATCGAATGATAATTTTTTTTAAAAATTATTTTCGTTTTGTGATAGGAGATATTTCGTGAAAGTCTTAACACAAGACGTAAAGAACACTCTGATGTTCCAACATTAATGACATTGGATGCTTCAAAGAATCCCCTATTAATCAAACGGAAATTGAATCAACAATCCAATCCTGAACATGAAGACAGTAATTCACAAACAATTGATTTATCACAGCATTCATCATGAATCGTCAGTGAATAAGCATATCAACTTGGTATAATTTTAGTAATATATACAACATTATTGTTCATTGTAACTATTATTTATTTATTTGCGCGTAAATACATAGAAGTGTAATCTGCGCATTCCAATAATCGCCAGTGTTTACTTTGTAGACACCTCACTTCTCATACTCAATGTGTATATTCTTCATCATTTTACCTTCATTTTGTAACCACTGTTCTACTAATTATTGTGTTTTTACATTTAGTAATACAATCATGAGTTGACTTGACTCACTGTATACAAAATATAGCAGATGTATCTTTTTTAACACTTGCTTTTAAATCAACTGATGGTTCACAGTTCACTAACTTAATACAGATTTGTATTCTTGACTATAAGGTACATTTAATGTATGAAGTGGTAGGCTCCGCTGACCACTTTACTTAATTTGGGAGTTTCATCAACCTGAACAAGCTCCTTTCTGACAACGTCTTATATAGGATACGGAAGGTCTGCATCATCTTTGGCGTCGACTGGCGAGATATCCGACTACTTGTCAACAGACCAGTATAATACTTTCGAGGTCCATCTGTAATATACGGCTGTGAAACGTAGACGCTGAAAGCAAAAGATCTGAAGAAGTTGTAGGTCTTTGAGCATAGCCATCTTCGTGGAGTTTCTCATCTATGATGGAATCATCACATGAGCGGTGTGGAAGTTAAATGAAGATGAATGGGCAAGGAAGATAAATCGGCCGATGGGGTTATCAGCCTTTATCGACTGAGATGGTGTGGGCATGTGTTACGCATTTTGAGCCACCTTCCAGTAAATGCTACTGTTTCACTGTGTGATATTTCTAGTGAACAAACTAAAATCGACGTACGAAGTTAGGATAATTTGGGTCAAGTTGGAGGAATGCTGAGGTTGGCTTGAGCCATGTAAGGAGGTGTAGACTACCTGGCTAGGGGTCTTAGAGATAATAGGAATTGACGGTTGAAAAGTTTAAAAATCTGGTACAGATGTATCTTCTAAAGCTTGAAAATTTTCATAAATCTTACATTTTGAATTTTTTATCTTCCCATACACCTCGGTCTACTTTGATACCAGTCTCTTTTGTCCAGTAATTCTTTACATGCTGCTGTGAAGTATGATAACTTGAAACGGTGCATTTGTGTACGAGGTTTTTCGATAACTGTCTGTTAAGAATTAGTGTGTGCAAGTTAATGATGCGATGCCAAATTATCTAGCAGATGGAGTTGATTTGAACCTGTAACCTAGGTAGATAACTATTTAGACCACTGTTTGATAACATTATCTGCAGAATAACTTGTTATCCTTAAACGCTCAAGGATATCCACTCTCTGTATTATCATTTGCCTTTATCATAAATATATTTATAGAGGTCTCATTCTCTTTTTCCGATTTTATACGGAATAATCTATTCACAATGGACTCCTTAGCACAGTTAGAGTACGTAGATAACAAACTCATGTTAAGTGAAAACTCTGACAAGATGCAGCGGCAATTTTAGGATGTTTTAGATGCGTTTCTTGCCATTCAAATGCAGAATGTTTCTTCATGACTGCTCTTCAGTGGTGCCCTAATTAACAATAAGAGGTGAAATGGTTGTGGTAGTTGACTGTTTCACCTACCTAGGAAGTTGGACCCGCCATGGTATATCAGTGGCCGATGAAGTCTGTAGACCAATATCAGAGGTTGGATTGGTTTTTTCGCCATTTACGACACCACCGTGATACCCAGTTGTCTATTGAGGGTTGATTGTATTGTGCTGCAGTTCTCTGTGTTTTACTGTTTGCCTATGAAACATGGCCATTGAAGGTAGAAGATATGGGGTTTCAGATGTTAAGCCACTGTTACTTTCTTAGTATAGGCCATATGTCATGGTGTCACCACGTCAAGAATTTAGAAGTCAAGTGTAGAGTTATAGGGAGGAAAGGAAATTCTGTTGATGAGGTTGTGAACTTTAATCAGCTCAAACGGCTGGAAAATATGTTGCGCAAGCCTAATCACTGTCTACCTCGTCAAACCATCTAAAGAAATATCGACTTCCTAGTTACACTGTATGTAACAACCAAAATCGTGGGTTATGGTATGACTCTGATTCGATCTTAGTGGTGCAACGACTTCTACATATTATTTTCATCCTAGTTATCGTACTCCCAACCGGTATCTGCTACCTTGACGTGGTAGTCAAGTTTGCCCATCATACTGATCGAATGATTTATGCTGTTGAAATGCTTGTTCGCTCTAGGTCGTACCATGCCAAAAAGGTCTTTTGGTTAGTGTTAACAGGAAAATCAGTTACCGTTGTAGTGGAAATCCCTACTATATGATTGGGGTCTGAAAGTGGAGTCACACTGCTGCCAGCTGGATAAGCTATTACAGCCGTTAGATCTTTCTCTTAGATGGTTAGAAGTTCCACGCTGAGGCCGCCTTCTAAACGGAAGATGGGTTAGAAACCGTCGGCCTTCAAAACTGCATATTCCGCTATGCGTAACAGTCTCCCGGTTTCGACAGCATGGGTTGTTTTGTCTATCCGGCGTTCGAACAACCAAACCTCAAAACAACAACCCAGAAAAGGGTATGTGTAAAAGGCCTCAAGCAGATGTCCTGTGAACTTGGAAATAACACATCTTTTTCTCTTTCAGTTACCTTATGAAGAAATAGCCTTCCAGTGTGGGGGCGACCAGCAAGTGCCAGCCACCCGAAAGCTTCTAGTACTACACAAGACTTAATCGAACATAACTTATTTTCCTCAACTTTGTTTATCCTCTAATCATCGTCCTGGATTGCAATACTGTTCCACTTCTTCCTGTTATCGTTACATGACTCTCTACCTTATTTGTCTGCATTACATCTTGCTACCTTCTACCTCGATGTTATAATATGAAGTATGGCAACTTGAATCGTTAAGCAGTAACACCTTGTCTTTTATCGATCACAACTCAATGAACCATTCAAAACAGTTTTTCTTTATAGAAATCACCAGAAATAGATCATTCTGAAGATTAAGAATGAATTGTACACTTTGACTAAGAGATATATTAATCGAAAAAAGTTTGTAATTCAATAAGTTGAGAAGTTGGCGGTAGCAGGAATTGCTTTTCACACTACAGTGACAATCTTATCTACTTATCTTTCAATAGGAAATTTACACAATATTTAAGGTACTTACTTCAATTTTATTCTATGCTTTTCTCATAAGACACCATTAGTCTTTTAGTAGTTATAAATAAGAAGTAACCTTTGAGCTGTTCATCAAACAACCAAAACAATATTATTGCAGTACATGGACTTTGTTCTGTTAAGTGTCGTTGATAGTTAAATAAAATTGTAAGTTGATTAAACATTTAGGTAACCTACTTCTCGCTATAACCTCGCCTGGTTAACTAGTTCACTAGTTACTAGCCAGTGCTAAGCCCAGATAAAGAGGGAAGGTTGGGCAAAGGGCTAGTAACTCGACCCCATAGAGCAGTCCAATTGCTAGAGAAACTTCAACAATGAACTGTGGCTGGCAACGAACCAACCAAGAACCACTTGAGTGCCTGGCATGGCGCGTGACGTCTTTGAATGGTTTTCTCAGTGCATGCCCAATCCAATCCATCTCCACTTTCTTCTGCATATTTGTTGGGCGATGGGTTCTTGGTTGGTTCGTTGTCAGAGATTCATGTTGCTTATTCGTCCTGGTCATCATCCTATGTCATACCTTAGTTTAATTAATTGTTTCTCCTTTAAACACAAAATCAATATTTCAGTTCACATGGTGGTGGGTAGGAGTGGGATTCAGGACTCACGTTTTGTCCTGTTTGGAACTCACTAGCTGGATGTACCTACACCCCACTGAGTGTTGGTGTTCTCACTGGAATTGGAACTTCTATTCGCCATTTCAAACGCCAAAGCATTATCTTTTGATACTTGTTATTTCCCTTTGTTGTACTGAGTCGAGTTGATTGACCTTTGCTGACATATGGGCTCTTACATGGATGCCTCAATACTTCTTGAATATTCATTGGTTTATTTTATTTGCTTATAAAGCGACCGTACACGGTTCGAGTTCTAGTGGGGACATTATCAGTCAATGGGATGCAGGCACATCCGGCTGATGAGTCCCAAATAGTACGAAACGCACGTCTTGCATTCCAACATGCTAACCATCACTAAGTGCCAATAGACGTCGATCAGTTTGACCCAGTGTTATAACAACAGAGGATTACAAGTATTAACAAATAAATTATTATTATTACTGAATCTCTGAATCAATGGTCACACACCAAGTCTCACTTCATTTTATCTCTCATCAAACAAAAGGAAAAAACAAACCTATTCTATTATCATTAATTTTTAAATAGTCTACTCATAATAAAATCTCAGTCTTTGGAACAATTTCATAGTAAAAACAAAATAAGAATACTCCTATAAACTTGTATGCATACTACTTTGATGACAAGATTCACAAACGTTTTATTTATAACTTGGTTTTCTCTTTCTAATCGATTTTGCTCTGATTATATCTATTACATATGACCTTGAATATTTTAGAGAGAAAATGACTTCATCTTATAGCTTTTTACCAATTAATTAAACTTTCATTGTACATTTTTATTTTAAATAAAAGCACATTTTCTATCTGATTAATATATCATGGTCAACTTTACTCACGTGTACCTACACATAGATATATTTCCATATCACCTTGTCATTATTGGATGATATTTGATAATACAAACTGCTGATTGGTCAATTTCTGTAGCTGAATTATTATTATTATTATTATTATTATTATTATTATTATTATTTCAGATAAACCTACAACTTGTTTTGCTTAAATTATAAATTTATTATTTAAGTCTAATAATACATTAATTTTTAATTTGATTTATGCACTACCTAAATTGACAGTTCCAAATACAATTCAGAAGGAATCTGAGTAAGCAAAGTATAATCTTTTCGATTACCTCTTCTTCTTCTTCTTCGTCTTCAGATTCTACAGTTATATCCAT